TCTCTCTCTCTCTCTCTCTCTCTCTAAACATGGTTCATTTAATAGATGAATGCATCATCTCCCAATTATTATACAAGAAAAAGACGTCAAATAAATGAATTAAAAGCCACTACGCACAATCTGAAACATGCTTTTATGCTGATTCAAAGCAACCCGGTTAGCCATATGAAAAGCCTATGAACATTATCATCAATCACCACCATGTCACTTTTGTGGTCTGCCATCCAAACATCTGATATAAAATTCAAAACGTGCTGTCTAATTTCATTTAAAAAGCCTAACTCATCCTGCGATCAGAAAAAAAATATAATACAGCTTCTAAATACCGTCTTTTAGCGGAGTTAATAAGAAAGTTTATATGGTATGTATAAGCAAAGGCAAAGAGAGAATACCGGTGAGACATATACAACAAGTATAGATTGACTCATTGTACAGTATATTCATTATTTATAATAAATAAAGAGAAAAAACAAACAAAAAAGAGGCTGACCGTTTCACAAAACAAACGGAGAGATAGGTGGCTAAACCAACAAATCAACATTTGATTCCGTCTAATCCGTGAGTGGTTCTTTTACCCGGCCAAGAGGATAACATGTTGCCGAAAAATAAATGATTAAGATGGTTTTTTTTTTTAATCAAATCAAAGGGATATTGTGTGCATGTGACGAGTCACGTGACTGAAGCCGTGACGGAGCGCGTCCCTGACCACACGAGGTGCCGAGGCTGCAGACTTCAATAGAGTCGTTGTAATCGCGGTCCTGCGATGGGCCCCGATTGGCAAGCAGTTAAAAGGCATCAAGGCCGATCTCTCCGAGGCCGGTACGGCCGATTTGGATATTCCCCCGTCCCGTGAACTAACGAACGAACCGAAGAAGCGACGGTCACGATCTCTTGCCACGGACCCACAAAACGGCGTTTTCCATACACTGGGCCCCTCCGTATGAATATGTCGCCAACCCAACTATTACTTTTTCTGCCCGTCCGCGTTCCAATTCCCCGTTCCAATTCCCTTTCCCTCCCGACGCACGCGAAGCTTCGTTGTTCGCCTTCCTCTTCGGTCTAACCTGCGGTGCGTCCTCCTTCCTCCTCCCCCTCCCTACGCACGCGAAGCTTCGTTGTTCGCCCTCCTCTTCGGTCTAACCCGCGGTGCGTCCTTCTTCCTCCTCCCCCTCCCAACGCACGCCACGATTCGATCGTCGCCCTCGTCCTTTGTCCAAGCAGCGGTACCGCGGCTTAGGCTCGGCGGTCAACCCACCCCCTTGGGATCGCGGAACCCCCTGCAGCCCCCCAACCGAATCGGAGCTGGACGCTTCCCGATATCATCTTAGCGGCGATGTCGTTCTCCGACTCCGATTTGTCGTCGCAGGGCGGGGACTACAAGAACTTCCGCCATGTCACCCGAGACCGTACGTCCTTTCCAAACTTTTTCCGATTGTTGTGTTGTGTTGTGGTGACGGGCAATTGCTTAGGTTGTTTGTTCTTTCTGTGTTTGATGGGCATGCTTTCTTGTTATTGTTTGATTTGCGTGAGATATTTTGATTAGAAATGGAGAAGTTGCTAATAAAACACTCGGTGCCTTCTTTTATCGCACGTGAGCCGGTGTCAGTCGGTCATCTTAGGTTTTCTAAATAAGTTGGGATGTTAGAGTTTGTGAGCAGGTTTGACCCTTTCCTATCGTTTTATATCTTTATTTGAAATTGAGATGTGCAGTTATCACAATTGACTCCGTCGACGTTCACAGGATTCGTAACTTTTTTCGACTGTTTGATTGATGCACACGTCTCCTGCCAATGCAGGGAGGATCTATGTATTTAGTTTTATCCCTGCAAGCAAAGGTTGTTTCTTATGAATACCTTGATTTCTAGGATAAATATAAGGTGCAAGCTTGACAAAGCTATATGTTGAAGTTGCAGAAATAGTAAATTTTTGTCATTTGATGATAAATTGGTCCAAGAGCGTGACAGACGTATGAGGAGGATTATGAAATGAGCTCAGTTCAAGTTTGTATTAAATGTTTAAATAAAGAAAGATGATGCAAGTATTGGCTGTCAATATTAAGCTTAGGACAATGCTTTATTAGCTGCCCTTATAGTACAAAGGTAATCAAGGGTAGGAAGCCTGTTGAGTAATATTTTAGCCTTCGGAGTTTCTCCTAGCCCTTGCAGCACCCTAGGGTTGCACAGGCTATGCATGGGCCCACAGAAGGAGTCATCCTTAAGTTTCAGTAGCCATTATATGCCAGGTAAGACTAAACCAAGAAAAGGGAGGGTGAAAGGATCATAAAAAAACCCAGATCTCTTGTCCTTTGTATGGGGAGGAAAATAACCTTTTGTTCAGATTGAAAGCATGAATCAGGAAATAGACAGAGCAAATTCCTCATGTCAAAGCAGAGGCTACTGGTTGGTGGATGGTAAGATGAGCTCAATCGCAGTTTATCTCCCTGCAACACAGGCAACACAATTCACAAATTATTTATGAATACTTTGTTTCTGCTTGAAATGATATTTTCTAAGCATTCCATAAAGCTTAAACACATTTTCACATAACAATTCACCAATGATTGTGGTTGTGCTGTGTATGGAATAATATGTGCAAGATCAATATTAAGATTACGATCAACTAAGAATGATATAATTGGTATTGAAAGATCGACCAGATCAAATTTGCAGGTCTAGGTTCGCTAGACAAAATATCTAAAAATTTATGAAAAGTAAAATTTTTACATGATAAAATAGTTACCTTCATATTTTATAAAATATCTAATATTTTTGTAAATCATATGAATTTAAGAAATAATTTAATATAAAAGAACCATATATAAGATGACGATTAAAAGTAACAGAGTTTTGTTACTAATAAAATAACTTATTCATTCATTGAAACAATAAATATCATTGTAAAGATATTATTATAGTAAATAATGTATGTGATGTAAAAAAACCTAAAATATGTTGACATAGTGATGAGCCCCTCCATGACCCTAGTGCTTCTTTAATCACCATGCATAGCGAGCGTAATGTAATACAAAAGCAAATAAAAAGAAACTTCATTAAAGAGAGCTTTCCTTTCATTGACATCAAATCTGGTTCCCATAATATCTCCCTTCTCAATGATAACATTCCTGTTCTTTTAGAGGTTAGACTGTCCTTTCCTTTCCACTCCTTGTCCCTTCTCTGTGACTGTAGTCATTCTTTATCTTTTTGTATATTATTCATCTTAATTTCTCTATTTTCCTTCCCCTGCTCCTTCCCTTGTTTTTTCCTTCTTTTGTGATTGTCAAATCGGCAAAAATTGACCAATCTCAAATAAATTAAGCTAAATCTATTATGGCAAAAAAAGGTCAAATCAAGTTGTCTTGTAAGATGTTGATATGGATTGGATGTGTCGTACCAGAATCAATCTACATTGTTAGTTAAGTATGAGACATAGCAAGACAATACTTCTTTTTGCCCAGTCAATTAACAACCACTTGAATTATTGATTCTGATAAAGAAAGTTCAATCCTCTAATTAATTGAAATGTTGCTATGTAAACTGTAAGAAATTAGAATTGGTTGTAGGAACTAGGAACCCTAGAAGTAGCACATTTTCAGATTTTTTCCAATGACCAATATCACATTGTTCCACCCAATTATTCTGGGGAAATTTTCTTTTACCAAAATTTCAATTCTTCTTACAAACCTTGCCAAGTGTGTCCCATGCTTCATAGTGTTATAGGAAGCTGAATGACAGAGTTTTAGGAAATGCATGTAAGCCCATGAAAAATTCTCTTTTAAGTGACATGGACCCCAAAATAATTCTATCTTTATCCAAACAAGATTCATATTCTCCATCTGGTTGACAGCCAACTTGTTTTTGATCTTTTATCTGCTAATAGTAAAGGTTTTTATCCAATTCTTGATTCTGTCAATGAGAGATGGGGGAGTAGGACTTTATATGACAGCAAAATCTTCTTGAACATATGACATAGCATTTGCAGTAATTTATTTATGCCCTTTCATATGTTGAATAATATAGTTGTATCGTATTTTTATAATGAGCCAACTTTGTTGCGCTAGACTTGCAATTCTTTTATGTAATAGAACCTTTAAGCTTTTTTGACATGGACAAATGGTAATCTTTTCTCCTTAAAAAGTAAGGCCAAAGTTCAGTGTATTACTTGATTCTGATATGATATACCTGATCTTTATTAACATCACTCTTGATCATATGGTTGGAAATTAAAGAGAAGCAACTAGAGTTTATCCTGATTATGTTGGATTTAGCAAATTTAACCAATTTTACTGTCTAAAGAGAAGAATAACAAGAGGGAGGAGAAGAAAAAAGCCAAGAAGAATAATAATAAAATTTTTTTGGACTTCGTCTGAAAAATAAAGTTGACATCAATCAAGATTCAATTGATGCAGCTTGGGTGATCAAGATTCTAATTAATTAATTAGATTATAAGTTCATAATAGATAATCACAAGTTCGCTGTTTGTGGATTCAAACAGAATTCTACATCCAACTCAAGATGATAAGATATGACCATCTTATCAGGGTTCTTCATTCTGAGGAAAAGGATAGGTCTCCCAAGAGCAAATACTAACTACTATTACTAAATTCACCAGCTTTATTATGCAATAAATATCCATACATAATATCATAGGTTTGCTTCCATCTATATTTATAAGGCTATTAGTGCCCAAATGGGTTAACTTGGATCTACATAATTCAACAGCATCTTGAAATATTGCTACTGGATGCCTATGTGTTTCTCATTAAATACTTCTTCTTGAGGCCATTGTTCATCCATTAGAGCCTTCTGAATCAACACAGCCGCATTGAATGCATCTCAAGGTAATTGAAAGTCCTACGGGTCCAGATCTTCTGAATTTGGCTTGACCTTTGCCTGATTGACTCAGGCTGGGGTTGCATTTGAGTCAGCTATGCTTTGTTAAACATCACGAGAACATTATAACAATCCAGTTGGTTTAGGCCTGATCATATGATCAAACAATCAATTGGATCAGTTGGTTTGATAAACTAATAAGGGCAATTAGGGGTCCAAATTGGTTAGGACATCATAAGTGTCATTCATTTTAACAACTTATGTGCACATACAAGAGGCTATATGGTTTCTGAAACCTGATGATCTTTTTCAAATGTTGAATATAGTCAACACCCACAACTTCCTTATCTGCCCACATATGCCACTCAGTTTTGCGGTAAGATGTTACTCATGTTTGAGAGCTTGTCCTTTTTATTTTGTTGGATTTTTGCTAGCTGTATTTCTAAGTTTTCAGTTTAACTTATATTTTTAGTGCTTCATGAATTACATATGTTAACTTGGGGCATGTTTTTAGCCATGTTCCATTTGATATATCATTAATATTTTTCAATTCTCCCTCTTTGTTTTGACTCTTTTAGGTTTATTATGTGAAATGCTTCAATCTACTAGGGCAAAGGACTCGAAATCAACATGGAAGGTACCAAGCAGCATGAATTTCTTTTTACTTAATTCTTTTTTTTCTATATTCATTTTTCATAAAAAGTGTTGGCTTTTCGATGTCCATCAACTTGTTTGGGATATTGACTTTAGATTATCTTGAAGTACTAATATTTTGGAAGTTGGAACAATATATTTAGCTTCTTGGCTTTTCGGTACTTGCTAGAAAGAGAGAGACCTATGACTCTCTTTCCAATCTGCATACTGGGAAGATTTGTCAATATCTGGTTCTTGTGTGTTTGTGTGTCTGCACCTTTTGCTTGACTTTTGTGATTGTTGGTGGATATCTAGTTTACAGATCTTCAAACGTTGCTTCTTACAATGGCTATCCTCTTTTGACTTATCCAATTATCATTTTGGATGTCTGGAAGGTACACCAAATTTTGTCTTTTTTATACACATTGTTGTTCACTGACGTGGACAAGAAAATTTCTCTTTGAGCTGAATCTTGAGAAACAACTAGAAAAGATCCTCTTCTACTAAGCTAAATTTAATGTTCATTTATATGGTTACTCAACACGAAGGTAATAATACAGAGTTTTAACTAGATGTGTGTGTGTGAGAGAGAGAGAGAGAGAGAGAGAGAGAGAGAGATGTTAGGATTCACCTATTACAGTAGACTGTCTGGAGAGCTCTTCAAGAATTTCGATTTATCAGTTAAGGGAAGAAGCACTTTGTAACTTTTGAACTGAATTGCAAGATATTCTTTTGAACTGAATTGTTCCATAACCTGGGTGACTAGATATGAGTCATGGAAACAACCTCTCCATATTCAGGGACAAGGTTGTGCATGTTGACCCTCCCCAGACATTACATTAGGAAGATTTTCTTTGCACTGACCATCCTTGTTGTGTAACCTTCTTGATAACTCGATATAAAGAAAAAATATGGTTTGCAGTCTTGCCTTAACTTTTCATAGTATTAGACTGTTAATCTCCTTGTTTAAGAAAACCAAAGTTGCAGATGAAGGTGAGCATAAGCAGGCTTTCCCACTTCACCTTCTGTGGTACTTTGGTTCATGGATGATCAGCACAGTGCATATTCCATGTTTACTTCCAAGGTTAAGCAATCATTGTAGTGTTTTTTTCTAACAGTTCTGGGGCTTTCATCCTTTTGGTTTCCCTTTTATTCTTGTTGTTACCTCTTGGTTTAATTTGTTCACTCTTGCTTTAAGCTGATCACGAATTCAAGTACTATTTCAGAAGTTTAAGATAACTGTGTCATTGTAGTGAGAATGTGTTTCTAACGGTATCTTTTGTAGGTTCAATTCCATAGCAATGAGATAACTTTATAATTGCTTTGAGTAAATTTGTATAATGTGTGAGGCACTTTTGTTGATTTGTTTTTCATGCCACAAAAGCTTCATGAGTTTTCTTGCTTCATTGTACTTCCATGCTTGATCAAAACTGTCAGACTTGAAGGGTGTATTTCATTATGACAAATATGAACTTTTGCTTTTGTGCTTGGACTGTGTGTTGATCATACTGGTTATAAGGACATGAACAAGGGTTTTGACTGAAGGGTTACTTAAGATTTAAGCTACGATTTAAAAAACCAGTTGGACCAGTATGTACTAACTGATATTTATCAGTCCAATTTGGTTCCATCATGTGGACCGGTTCAGTCAGGTTTGAAATAGGTGTTTCTTATGTTCTTTTTTTAGCAACAGCTGTTGGCTCTTTTAGATAGTGAAATTCTTTTTTTCACTTCAACAGGGACTTCTCTCTCTTTCCGTCACCTCTGATGGCACAACCTCCATCTCCGTCACTGCCAACCGCCTTATTGACCTCATCATGTTGGCACCACTGCCACATTCTCTGTGTTCTCCTTTCCTTCATTTCTTCTTCCTCCTCCTCCTCTACTTATCGTCCTCCTCCTGTTCATCCTCTCTATCCTCCTCCTCCATGTTGTAATCCTCCTCTCTTCTCTTCCTCTCTCTTTGGTCCATGCTAACCGTTACACTGACATACCAGCATGCTGGCATGTACCAGACTCATCCTGGTCGGGCTAGGGACTGTGAAACGTTGATTTAAGCCATTTGGGTTTGTCCTGAATTTACTTCAAAGAAAAATCGGGTGATTGCAATTTTGATTTGCATCTCTTGAGAGCCAGGAAGTTCGACTATGTAAATTTTCTTCTTTTCCTGATTTTGACCTGGAGCAAATTCTTTCTACCCTTCTAAAAGCTGCCAGATGCTCTTTGTTTTAAGGTCCAGTACCTTAACAGTCTCTGGTTTGTCTACTTTCTCTGGATTGTTGAATGCTCTTGGATCTTAGTTTTCTGCTTTTTATTAAATAGGCATTTTGGTAGCAAAGTGAACAAGCCTTGGTACAAGTTCTTTCCTTTCTAGGTGTGATATGGTTCTGTCTGCCTGTCCTTGAAGTCCTACTGCTGTTTAGAAATATTTAGGGCCAGAACCTAATTAATAGGTACTTCTTGTAACCTGGACTGAAATTTATTAATTTAATAAGTACATATTTGGAGATTCATGATGAAATTATAGACTATTCAAGTATTCATCTGTGGAGCTGGGGCCTTCAGTGTGTTTATGAGTGAGTGCTCAAGGCATGATATAGTTATCTCTGCCTGTTCTTGAATTCATACTGCTGTTTAGATATATTTAGGGTTGGAATCTGATTAATTCGTACTTCTTGTAACCTGGGTTGAAATTTATTGCATTAACAAGTACTAATTTTAGAGATTCATGATGAAATTATACACTATTTAGTTGTAGAGCTGGGGTCTTCAGTGGATTTTCGTGTAAGTGGAAGTTCTGATCTAACATCATCCACTGCTGGCTACCTTCCTATGTCCTCCTATTCGTGAGAAAAATCACTTTTCTTACTTTAAAAAAAGTCCCTATTGGACACCATATATATATTCATCATTATTTGTATGGACGGATACTTTAGAGAACTCAAGGATGTCTTTTCTAGATCAATATAGGCTGAGGAGAGCATTTAAAATTGCTAGTATTTGTATATTCTTTATGAAGTCATCTTTGTAATTGATGACACAAATACAAGAGAAACATTTTTTACAATTTTTTCTACGAAAATATCTAAAATTATGAAATCCTTCAGGTGATATGCAACTATGCATAAAAAGCTTTTCAGGCAAATAATGAAAAATGTCAATTTGGTGCTAGAATTTTCATCATTTATTAATAACTTATAAAATTTAGTTGTTTTTTAAAATTTCTTGTAGGTACTTATTATGGACAAAATTACCGTTAAAGTAATTTCACACTCTTGCAAGATGGCAGACATTACAGAGGAAGGAGTTTCTTGTAAGTTTATAGCATGCATTTCTTTTTAAAAATATGATTCTCATTCTTGTTCATGTATTTAAAATCATATTTGTATAATAGCTTAGGTGACTTCAAAGAAATGGTCCTATCTTTAAGCCCAACTGTTAGCCAAGTCTACAAGCTTGAGAAGAAAATAACATTTTAAAGTTATATCATGCAAATGCTTTGGGAGATTTTCCTCTTAAATTTTAGAAAATTAAAATTTTAACTTAAATTGGCCATTTGTGTCAAACTGATTTTCAAACCTTGAAAGATATTTTACAGCCAGCAAAAGCAATATTAGCAAAAATAAAGAAATAAAATTATGATACATGTATAGATGTTGTTATATTGCACGTGCACTTTTGATCTTTTATTACTGAACATGTATGCACATATATATGAACATTAATGATTGTATAAGCATATATACTATTAGGCTGGGAAAGTACAGCTCAAGCATCCTACAACTTGTTCACTGCTGAGGCACTTGCTTAACGGCCAAGGCAGTATGGGGCCTTTGATATAGCAAACTGGGACCTGTTATACTTGGTCCTCAAAGTCCATGTCTGGATTTACATGGATCTATGCTAGAAGCAGTAGATCTGACCTCAAATGAACAAGAAATGCAAGCCATAAATCTAGAGAAATAAGCATAAGCCATGTCATTTAAAAGAAAACTAAGCACAAAGCAAGAGATATGATTTGGAAAGAAATATGCTAAGCTTTCTTGAGATCCAAGCTTGATCCCAATGAAATAACCAAGAAAGCTTGTGAAGGTGAATGAGGGGAGTTCAAACTAAAATATGGATTGGAAAGGTTACTGATGTTCAAAATGGATGGGAAGGGTAGTAATTAAGATATTGTTGGGCAATTAAGAAATGTCACTTTCAATAGAAGGATAACTTTGTGATTAATATTTGGTGTTGTTAAAGCAATTTGAGCAAGGAAGGCTAGAAGTGCACTTGTAAATTGTGGTGAGTTGATCCGAATTATATGTGCTGGTAGATGAAGACCACATTATCATCATGGCAGCCCTAGCAAGGAGGTGAATGAGTTTACCTAATTAAAACCTAAAACTAGGGAGATTCTTGAGACCATGGAGATAATAAAACTTGAGTTTCATTCATGTGTACAAAATAATCACAATTAAAGTTAAAATTGTGATAGCAGAGTTAAAGAGTGATAATTCAAATAATTAACAATGGTTCAATTTACCATTATAAGCTTCCTGTTATCCTTAAGATCCTCTGTATATCCACTAGTCATGCTCAACTTCACAGACAAAGCTAAAATATAAACACCCTTTGAAGATCTTTTTTGTGGGTGGAACTGAAGGACAAATTCTTTTTCTGGATTAGGAGCAAGTTCCTCACAAAATCCTAAAGAAGCTTGTCCTTTTGAGACAAATTTTCTGAATGACACAGAAACTATATATCATAAAAGAGTTAAAAAGGTTGAAACAATTAAAGAATATGGTAGAGCTCCTGTATAATATGATGAGGGCATGAAGGAAAAAGATGGGCAAGCTTAAGCTCAAGAATAATGGTAATTCAAAAGCTTGATATAAGCTAAGAGGTAGCCTTAGAGAAAATATTCAATGTTCTTACTCATTGGTTCATTTCTTATTTACTGGGGAGAGGTAAACTCTCAGGTACTTATAAACTATTGTTCAAAACTCTTGAGAATATCTTGGTCAATGGATGGACATTTCAAAAATATTGGGCTTGATAACTGTCTCTTGGAGCCCTCCTCAAAACTCTCCATTCTAAACCTTTTCTCTTTCTGTTTGCTTTCTAATTGGACAATTTGATGGCTTTGGCATTTTTGTGCTTTCTGAGCTATCTCTATGAACATCATTTTATCTTTCTTCTTATTTTCCCATGATTTGATCTGGTTACATGTACGTATTTTACTGCTAAAAAATTTCTTGCAGTGGTTGAAGACATATACAAGCGAAGGCAGCCATTGCCATCCATGGATGCTGTATATTTCATCCAGCCAACAAAAGAAAAGTATATTCTTTACATTGATATCTTTTGTACTTTTTCCTCTTTCATTCTGTATGACAAGAATAACTTTGCTCTCCTAATATATGATCTTGTACTTCCATTCATAAGGAAATTTGAAATGGTTAATTCTAGTCTAGGTTATACTCGAAGCTGGAATTCTGTACTTGCATGGGTATGGAATATATTGTACCTGTTGATGAATATTTTTTTCCCTAAATCTAGGGTTACTGAAATATGAACAAATTTATGGATAGTAATGGCTGGACCTGAAAGTGAAAAGAGGAGTGAACAGGAAGGGAAATGGAATATATCCACCAGGAGTGAAAAGAGGACTAGCACCTATTTGACACCACAAAAGAGACTCCAAGTAATGTGCCAATTTTACACCTTATAATTTAAACCATGAAGAAAAGAAAGCTGAGCTAAGAAAAGCTTTAGGAATATGCCAATTTAATTTTGTTGTCCAGGTAGGGGCACAGCAGTGAACCTTACCTTTATTTGAATTCTAGGATGTGTTTTTAAGGGTTTGTAAATATCAGTACAGTTTAGATAATAGAAGCAAATCCTCTTTTTCATTGTATGCTATGATGGGCGGTATGTTTTTCATTGTTTCATGATTGCATACTGTTATGTTGTGCTCATGTGGCATGTGTTCTCCAGTTTACATGATGAAATCTTGATGCCTGCTGTGATTTATTTCAGATTTTTGTGTTATCTAGTGCCTCTAAGAAGTGTGTTGGTTTCGTGCAGTGTGGTCATGTTCTTGTCTGACATGTCCGGGAAATCACCCTTGTACAAAAAGTACGTGTGAATTCTATATGCAATCTAACTCGGTTATAGTAGGCCTAACCTTATTTTCTCAGTTTAATAGTTACTTTTATGCATTTTGTTCCAGAGCATATGTATTTTTCAGTTCACCCGTAAATAAAGAGTTAGTGGCACATATCAAGAAGGACACAAGCGTCTTACCCCGCATTGGTGGTTTAAGTGAGGTTGAGCTTAATTCTTTTACTCATTCTACCTCATCAACAAGCTCATCTTAGACTATTGAGCTGACTTTTTTCTAATTAATTTTTTGAACATGTACCGAAACTTATGTTTCATTGTTCTTTTCTTCTTTTGAACAATTTTTGCAGATGAATTTGGAATATTTTGCTATTGATAGTCAGGTATTGTTTTCTTATAATTTCTTTAATATATGTTCTGATTTTCAGTTGTATCAAATGGTCTGTTACACTGATTAATTTTTTCTTTCTTCTGTTTCCCAGTTTAGATTTCAGAATAATTCATCTTGAATCTAATCATTTTGAGTTTTGTCATTTAGGGCTTTATAACCGACCATGAGAGGGCTATGGAGGAACTACTTGGGGAGAATGCGGAAGGCTCTCACATGTACAATGACTGCTTGAATACAATGGCCACACGTATTTCTACGGCATTTGCTTCTTTAAGGGTATGAGCAGGCAGCTCCACAGAATATCACCTGCTGTAAAGTGGAATACTGGTCATATTTTTTAGGTCATCACTTTCAAAAATTGAATTTTTTTTATTATTGGCAGATAATTTTACATTTTTTAATTTCTTTTTATATAGCACAAAACCATAAAGTGGATAGAGTATTATTAATAATTTTAACAAATATGTAAAGAAGAATTCTAGTGCTATAAAAAGTCATTATGTGACTACATCTTTTTGAGCACTTTAGATTGAACAATTTAGGTTTGAATTTAAATATAGGTTGTTAGGCATTTAGCCAACTGTTCTTGCTTCTTATCATGGTGTTTATGTGTTTGATTATTTTCATGCAAGGTTTGCAATTTCAGTTCGTACAGGTGTATCTGTAGGACCAAGAGCGGTACTAAGAGAGGGGGGGGGGGAGGGTGAATTAGTGCAGCGGATAAATCACGTCGGTTCGAAATTTTTCGTACGATAAAAACTAATCTCGGAAATGTATTTAACTTGAAAGCATACGGAAGAGTGTAATGGAAGTAAAGCAAGTAAACGGTTTGCAGTGAAGGTAAATAGCAAGAATAGAAATGCAAACCTGTTTATAGTGGTTCGGTCGTCGTGACCTACATCCACTCCACCGATTCCTCTTCCGTCAAGGTTACCGGCATCCACTAACGATCTTCTTTCAATGGGCGAAGATCAACTACCCTTTTACAACCCTCTTCTCTTTTTCATAAGTTTAGGAGATAACCTTTATACCCTCTTCACTCCTCTCTAAAACTATACTAACACTTAGAGCTTTTAGAGGAGTTCTCACAAGACAACAGAGTTTTTCTATTTTTTTTCACTCAATTCTTGTGTATGTTAACCAGGGATGAGAGGGGTATTTATAGGCCTTAAGCCTAAAAAGGTCTCATCCCGGGTTTCCCCCTTCACGCCTGCAGCATTGACATTGGGCTGTACCACCGCCCAGACCGGTGATACCACCACCTGACATAATCTCGGAGACTGTGTCACGACGGTTCCACCTGTTGAGTCACTATTTGGGCCTTTCACTTGGCCTAACACAGCCTAACCTTGGGCTCAATTGGCCCCTAATTGAGATGGCCTAATTCCAACCCAATTATGTGCTAACTACGAAATTTAAGGCATACACTAAGCTAAATAAGTCTGGTTTCTTCCGACGAGCTTCCGGTGATCTTCTAGTGAACTTTCGACGATCTCTCGGCAATGTTCCAGCGGACTCCCGGTAAGCTCCTGGACTTCACGACAAGCTCCTGGACTTCACGACGATCTTCTTGGCGAGTTTCGACGAGCTTCTCTGGCAAGGTCCTGTACTTCTCGGTCAATTCCGATAGAACTTCCGACGAACGTTCGGACTTCCGACGAACTTCGAACTCCCAACGAAATCTCGTTCTTGACTCCGGGACTTTATTTTGCTTTATGCCTTGATCGTTATCGTAGTTAATCTTACACACTTAAAGCCTACTTCGATCTAGACAATTATTATACGGCTTAAATCAAATGTTGTCCGGCATGTCATTGGTTCATCGATGCTTCGTCCGATTCTTCGACGCATCGTCTTCTCTTGCAGCCTATTGCCCAATCGGTCAGTTGACCTTCGCAACTACAATTTTCTTGGCGCAATTTTCGCTCTTCTTGGCCCGATGCTCGAACCCATGGCCTGAAGCCTTCTGTTGATACGTCGACTGATCCTCCGACTCGATGTCTAATCTTCTGACATGTTCTATTCCGGCCCAACATGATTTTTCCTGCCTTAATTGTCTCTCCCTGATAGAAGTTTCCTGCGTCACTCAAAACACAGATCAAATCATAAACACTATAAATTGGTTTTATCATCAAAATCCGAGATTCAACAATCTCCCCCTTTTAGATGATGATAATCAATTGATGAATGAGTTAACTTTAACTCCCCTTATCAATATGCCATAATGATAGAACTCTTGGATTTAAAAATCCAAGCATCATGTCATGATAAAATCATGTATAACATCATACTTCTTCCCCTTTGTCATTAACAAAAAGGAGAAGTTCAACTATCAAGTGTTTAGACATACAAGTTCAAATCATTGCATAATCTCCAGTTTTATCATCATGCAAGTTTTATAACATATAGCTAGCAAATTTGTTCATCACCTTACAACATGCATAATCACCAAATCATCATTACTTTTGAAGATATGCAAGATTGTAAATTTTGGTATGTACCAAGGCATGGTATATACCAAGGCATGATATGTACCAAGGCATACTGACGGTACACTATTACGACCAAAATGAGTTGAAAAACCTAAAAAAATACCTGAAAAATAGAATAAAATTAGAATAGGATTTTTAAGTTAGAAATAAATATAAATTATAATTTTAGTAAAAATAATGTAAATTATGAAAGAATATTTCCACGTATCTTTTTCGAACTTTGAGGAATAACTTTGTGGTACGTTCCAGATCATCCTTCCATTAATATTGAATTATCTGTAAAAAAAATATTTGAATTGTTAGATTATTTTTTATACAACTTAAACTTTAAGATTTAAATGAATTAAGTAATCAATCGATGGATATGCTTGGTTCTACTACCAAAAAGAACGACGGGACTCTACGGGCAGTGGATCAGGGTCCTCAATCCTATGTATTTATATATCAATATAATATGTTTGTCGGACTCAATCTTGAAATTGATCCCTTGATATAGTGTACTGATACACCGTATACCATTAGTGTATCAATATGGTTAAAGTCGTAGGTTCATCGTTATGAACCACATGTGTTTGAGGCGGGCCCTTAAGGCAATGACGAATATGACATGTATTGGTGCAGAGCATAGTGAATGTTAAAACTTCTATTTTCACTACTGATCTATTGCTCTGTATCGTTAGATCGATCATCATACTGTTGCTCGGAGAAGTATGAGCAACTATCACCGTACTACTGTTGGCCGTAAGATTCTCTATAATACGACAACTATGAATATGATGAGCTTCGCTCTGTATCTACATCATGTAGGCTCTACTGCATATATTTAAAATCATCCACTAGTTGCTTCTTCCCTTTCCGTGTATAAACTTGACCAGTACCTCGTCGAGCCCCATGATCTGAATCTTAGGTGGCATATGTAAAATATTGCTCCTCCGTCCATGCACCACCCTCAAATTGTGTAGACGGGACTATCGGCTCCTCGGCATCGCTGCCATCATCGGTTAAGACATTATTGTCCATGTTGTTGTTATGTCTCTGGACCAAGTGAGTTGTTGAATATGATTGCGAAGGTGTCTCGTCGCCCAAGTGGATTCTTTCTAATGGTGCAGTTGATGATATTGCCTTCCCTTTTGCCTTTGCCTTTGTACGTTGGTGGACGACTATGATGGTTGGGTGTCTCTGGTTCCTAGAACAGTTTGACTCAATCTTGTCCGACTCCTTCTGTCACGTTTTGACCGAGGGGGATTTTTCTCCTGCTGGGGATGTGCTTCCTCTTCTTCTATTTGCCTCAATAATAAAACACAAAGGACCGCCTCATTAAGTAGAGGATCCTCTTGGTACTCCGCCACTTTAACCCACTCTAACATCGACTTTGAATCTTCGTTATAAAATTGGAGATCAATGGGATCAATCTCTGATTCCTCTGGTTCCTTGTCCAGCTTGGCACATCACAACTTTAGTCGCATATTATAGTGAACATATACTAGTTTCTCCAACCGTTTATATGATAATCTATTGCGGACCTTCATGTGAATCAATGCGAACGTTGACCAAGTACGTTAGATGTCGTTGTCTGTGAAAGTACATAGACGACAACCTTCTTTAAATTTGGTGCGTCCTCACCAAATTTTAGCCACCACTCGACCGCAAAAAGATATAAATAAGATTTTATTAGCATAACAAATAATTAATATCAAATATAGTTTATAATCAATATGTGTGTAACATTTCCTCACTAAGATCCATATTGTAACGACACGATATAGCTACAATATTGGAGAATGAACCAATTGTTTCTCGGAATAATCGACCCTCCATAATAGCATCGGTTGCATCAGTAGTGTTTGACACAAATGATTTAAAAAGCGTTAGGAGCCAAAGTCCCACAACGTCTAAGGCGCTAGACGCTCGCCTGAGCGAAGCGAGGGGCTCCCAAATATTATAATTAAAATAATATACAACTAAATAGAAATATGCTAAATATGTTTATGAAGATATATTAGAATTAAACTACTTTGTACACTTGTCATTAATTCTAAAATCTAATATATAATTTTAAAATAATAAAGATTAGAGATTTAACAACCTACTATTAACAATATATATTATTTACTGTTAATAGTAGTTAAGAGGGGAGAAAAAAACCATTAATAGTAGTATAGGAAGAAAAAAACAAGAGAAAAGTGTCACTGATGGTTAACAGTGGGGAAGGAGAAGGTAGCGGTGACAGAGGAAGCTACAAACGACAACAGCAACGACGGAGTAAGCTGCAGACGACAGCTGCGACAGTGGCAAAAGCTGTAGATAGCAGTAGCGGCACCGACGGAAGCTGCGGACGACGATGTTGTGGACGGAGGAAGCTTTCGAAGTGTACGTCAATCGCGGAGGAAGCTACGGTCCTCTCCCTCGACGGTAGAAGGAACTGCCAACGGTGGCGGAAGGAAGCTACAGACGAAGGCTAAGCTGTCGGACCTATTCATCGGCGACAAAGAAGGCCTCGGTCTGCTGCGTTTGCAGCGGAGGCAGCATCTGAAAGCTTTGGCGGCGGAGGCAGGAGCGCTCGTTAGGGTTGATCGCTCGGGGTCGAACTACACTTAAAAATCTGTTTCGGTTCAACTATTTGAGCTGGGCACTCGCCCGAGGTGCAAAGCGCTTGGGTTCGAGTGAGCGCCCAGGTAGTGCCTCATTGAAGCATGCCGCCTGGTTCATTGTTGAGGCACTTGGGCCTTGCCTCGCCTTGCCTCCCCTCGCTTGAACGCCTAGGCGAGTCTCGAGCGCCCAAGCGCCCATTTAAATCACTAGTTTGACAAGAGTCGATATATAATATTTCTTAGTGTCGACAATAAATCTGATTGCGTTCTAAGACCATACTGAAATTGAATTGCTGGGTTTAGATAATACGCTGTAAGACATAATTTTGTTAGTATAAATTTTTTATACATCAAAAAATTATGAATTAAATTACACCGAATATAAATTTACGTGCATTATGGATATCTTGGTCCATATAAATTTCAGTCCTATGATCGATGATATGTAACTATTGGTCGGCCTTAGAATAATCTTTGATTGTTTTTTTGACCTCCACTCTTGCTATAATCAACATATGTCTAAGTTAAGGCATTTATGGATGCTTTTCCATATCGACCTTACAGAAAACGTAAAGTGGTTCTGCACCTTTTATGATTTCATTCATGGTATCCCAAAATCTAGAAGAAAGAATGGTCTTTTCCATCTTTCCATTGCTCGATCTCGAATACCTGGATTTTGGCCATTCTTGTGAGGTGACCATTTACTTGAGGACCTGCCTCTTTTGTTGTATTGACTTTAAGACAATGAAATTTATAGCAAACCGAGTGACTCTAGGTCTGAGTATCTCATCATTTATATACTTTTGCATTAGAGAGTGGACCCAATGATGATTATATATAAACTTTGTGATCGATTATACTTGAGCTACACAATATCCTACTTCTTTTCTTTTATATATACATTATCAATCCGTATCTGTTTCACTGTTTGTGGAGGATAGGCTTGCGGATCAATATCAATAATATCTGGTGCGAACATCCTGCCAAGTTCTCTCATAAAACCATGGATTCCACCATGCCTCATGCTACTAGTTCGACTTAATTGAGTAGGGGCAATTGGTTGCCTCATGCTGGTCGACCTCTAGTTTTCTTATGGCGTAGATCCACTGTCATCGCCATGCTCTCATTGTGAGTCAGATCGTCGATGCCTCATTGCTTCCACGTACATATATTGTTGCTCCAGTGATGCACGAATACTAGCTTTAAGATTCGGGTTGATCTCATCGTCGCGACCCTTATAGTCGTCATAAACTGGTTTCTGCGTAGCCCTATAATATTCTTCCTCAACTCTTGTCCTCTTTTTTATTGTATCTACCCTTGCTTGTTATGACTTGTTTTGAAATGATTTATAGACCTTCGTCGGGACCTTCTTGCATTTTGCAACATCGGGATACCCGTCGGCCAAATGCATCTTCACTTGGGTGATTCTTCCACCCTTACCAATGTAGTTATAATAAATGCATTGCCAATGATTACGGTTTTCGTCTATCTTTTGGGCATGATCCCAAGCGTCATCATGTGTCTGTTTCTTTGGTATTATGTTCCTACTAAATTTAAATCAAATAAGCAAGTTGCGATTATCCCTAATTTAAAATACAAGGTGCAAATTATACGTAGAATTGATTGAATATCATTAAATCATCATTAAAACCACTAATCATAGTACTAACATAGTTAATAAACCCTAATTAGTTCTCTTTCACCGTTATAAACATGTCAAACACCCTAATAGGTTTTAAGGACATTGAATTGACTCAATATTGATCAAATTTTGATTAAATCATCATTAAAACCACTAATCACAGTATTAAAAAACTTAATTAAAATCTAATTAGCTTATTTTACCGCCATAAATATGTTAAATACATAAAAGAAGCATTAAATACATAATTTTGATGATATCATCATTAGATACACTAATCACACCGTTAACATAGTTAATTATCCACTAATTATTTCTCTTTCAACACTATAAACATATCAAACACTCTAATTAGCATTAAAGACATTTAATTGACCCAATATGGGAGAAATTTGGATTCATCATAATTAAATATACTAATCATAGTATTAACATAGTTAATTAATTCATAATTAGTCATCTTTCATCGTTATAAACATGTCAAATACCTTAATAGGTATTAAAGGTATTGAATTGATTTAATACCGATCAAATTTTGATTAAATCATCGTTAAAACTACTAATCACAACATTAAAAACTTAATTAAAACCTAATTAAACCTATTATACTATCACAAACATATGATCCAATCCTTAATATGCATGAAATTTAAAAATTTAACCTATTAAGTATTTAATTTCAAAAAAATCAATATTAAACACATTAATCACAACATTAAGGATCTTAATTACTCCCTAATTAACACTATTCTACCATCAAAAACATATCAAACAACATATTACATATTAAGTCATACACCACATACAATAGGCTTAATCATCTCATAAATCAATAAAATCTAGAAAGAGAATACATACTTCTTGATTAGAGTGTTCTTCCTCTTAACCCACCCAAATTAACCTCCTAAATTTGATCTAATTCATAAATCATAGTTTTGTTGAGTTTAGGAGAGTGAAAATGTGAGAATAAGAGAGAGATGTGAGTGAAAAAAGTTTGAGAGAGTTTAAGAGATTGAGAGAGTGAAATGAGTTGAAATAGGGGGGAGAAAAGGGTTTAAAAACCCTTTTTTAAGCCTAAAATGGTCAAATTGCCCATTTGAAATAGGGTAATCTCAGCTCTTGATTGATAACAATCGAACTCTGACCGTTACTAATCGGTACAGGTCGGTAATAATCGGACTTCGACCATTATCAGGTCGGTAATAATCGGACTTCGACCATTATCGCTCGGTATAGACCCCGTATCGTCCAATATGGGGTTAAGACACCAGTATTGCTGGTAGAGTGCGGTCCATGTACCATTATCCTCTCAGACTAGTATATACTGCCCGTACTGGGCAGTATGCATAGGTAATGCAAACCTTGCTTTCATGTACACTGGTGCTTATTGTATTAATTATGTATTCTCTTCCAAATTTGCAATTCATAACTAAGATCTGCTCTCTCTAATATAATTATCTCCATGTCATGAAGATTTTTAGATATATATATATACACACACACACATATATATATATATATGTATATATATACATATATATAAATATGTATATATACACATGTATATATATACATATATTTATATATATATATATGTATATATATATATGTATATATATACATGTATATATATACATATATATATATACATATATATATACATTACAAGGCATAAAATTCTGGTTATGCTACAATAGATGAAATGATTGCCATGCAGAGTAATGAGATGAGGAAATTAAGCTTACACAACAAAGCTTTTTGCAATGTTATCCTTGGACAACATTTAAATGATTACTTTCAGCATATAGATATCAATCAATTTGGCATTTAAAATAATTCTCATTGTTCAGTTGGTATGTTTTATGTATTAAAGATGAAATATTTGCTTCAATTTCTTTGTGAACTGTTTTATTTTCCTGTTTTTCTTCATTTTATGTACACGTTTTTCCTTCTAGGCTATAATCTTTATCTTGATATGTTTCATTATTGTTGCCTTTTGTTTGTTACTACTTTTCAAAAAACTATTACATGTCTTCTTCCTATTATCTAGATCTATATTCTTTGAACCTTCTTTGTCCTTCTCAGTGATGTCCAGTTTAGACTAATGTCTCAACATAGTTTAGCCTTATGTGAAAGATGAATGCATATTTATTTGCATATATGTGCTGATAAAGCTACATATTCGTATGTCTTTCAAGAATGAATGTAAGTTTGTACATCTAGCAGTTGCTTGTTATTAATGATAATTTTGTTTCTGATTCTGTTCAGGAATTTCCGTATGTGCGGTACCGTGCTGCAAAGTCATCATTAGATGCTTCTACAGTGACAACACTTCATGATCTTGTCCCAACTAAGCTTGCTGCTGGAGTTTGGAATTGTCTTTCTAGGTATAAAGCTAAAATTCATGATTTTCCCCAGAGGGAGACATGTGAGTTGCTTATTGTGGACCGTTCCATAGATCAGGTACAAGTACATTAATAATATTTAGGCTGTCCTGTTGCTTTTTGACCATTCTATGATCTTTAGATTGTTTTCTCAATTTTTACACCCATTTCTGAAATCTGAATCTATAGATTGCTCCAATTATACATGAATGGACCTATGATGCCATGTGCCATGATTTGCTAAACATGGATGGTAACAAATATACTCATGAGGTGAGTATTCATTTCCAATCTTATACATCTGGTGACTGGTAGGTGTTCTTTTGGATCATGTGGTTGTAATGTTTTCGTTTGATGAAGGTGCCTAACAAAACAGGATCAACAGACAAGAAGGAGGTGTTGTTGGAGGATCATGACCCCATTTGGCTTGAGCTTTGGCATGCACATATTGCTGATGTTAGTCTAATGATCTGTCTGTTTATTCTTGTTTTTCCTTGGTTGATCCTATGCTTTGTCATTTTTGAGGCAAATTTAGACAGTGTGCTTCATTTTTGCATGATAAATCCCTTGGCAGGCTAGTGAAAGATTGCATGAGAAGATGACAAATTTCATATCAAAAAATAAAGCAGCTCAAATTCACCATGGTTCAAGGTAACTGTCAAGTGGTTTGTACCTTTGTTTTGATAAAATTATAGAAGCTATTGGGGAAAAGCACGTTTTCCATTTCAGGATTATTATTATTTTTGTGTAATTAAGATTTCAAGAATCAGACATTATATTGTGAACTCTGAGAGTGCATATGCAACAAAATAGAATGGCTTAACAGAATGCTTTTTTGAGATTTTGTCAGCACCAGAAAACCCAAGACTGTAATATCAGTTTTTCATTAGGTGTGTCGCTTGGGTCTTGCACTTTTGAATTGATATTACGTTCTCTTTCCCCCTGTATGCACATAATTATTGGTTTCTTGATTGAGTACTCTTTACTTCTCATTAAAGTTTGGTCTTAGAAGCTGCTCTTCTTTGATATTTTGGTCTTTTGAGCAGGCTCAACTCCAAGATCCTATTTCACCCATCAGCTTAATCAGTTTCTCTTTTCTCATTAAATGATGATGACCCATTGACTCGGAATGATAATCTCAGAGGACTTCTTTGTCTGCTCCAATTGTTTTTGCCCTATTTCTAAGTATCTCTATATGAGCTTTTTGTATATTCATTCTCTTCATGTGGCTTGATTTAAATAATAAGAATTCATTCTGGGGAATACTTTTAAGGAAAGGCTGGATTATTAATGCCTTTGTCCCTATTTTGGTGTGGACCTAGACTTTATTGGGCATGTTTTTATTTTTCTGTGCCCTTAACAATTCTGGCATCGGCTATTAAGAGTTATGCATTCCACTCTTCCAGCCTCCTTTTTGAAGTTTGGGAGGTTGGAGAAAAGATAAGCAAAATGTCTAGCAGGCTTCTAGGATTGATCTAATAGCTTTTGGTGCATATAGGATGAGTGAAATTTTAGACAGTTCCATTAGGTGGGTAGAAGTCTGGATGAAATTATAATAGGAGCGTTGGTTTGCTTTTTGGTTCAAGTTTTCCCATATTGATTTACTTTTTAGTCGTTTGAGAAGTTGTTTTTTTTTTTTTCGAAACTAAGTTTTCTGGCTTGGTGCTTTGCCTAGAAAAAAAAAAAAAAGAGAATGCAATATAGTGCAAACCTCATCTTGGAATAGTTAATATTCAGTAGAGACTGAAGTTGCCTCATATAAAGCATAGAGAAGAACCTTTGCCAAAAAGTATTTGAGGTTGTTGTGATTTGTCCCACACACCCTATCTGAACACAAGTGTACTGGTAGTCAAAATACAAAAAAAATCAAAAAGAGGAGAAAGGAGCTGATACCGGGTGCAAAGTCCATCTAGTGGTGATCTGATCCAAAGAGACCTGCTGGTCATTGGCTCATTTAAACTAGCCCTCCTCTTTTTCTACCCCTCTTTACTCTCTTTCACACACGTTCTCTCTCATTCTCATTTACTTCTAAGCCTCCCCTAAATCTCTCTCAAGTCTCTTCTAAAATATGACTAAAGAACATTAGGAGGTGCTCAAGAAGAACTCAAGATCCAATTCGATCTCTCTTCAAATCAAGGCAAATCTGAACCTATGCAATTAGGTTAGGGTTTATGTTTTCCCTTCCAACATTGGTCTATATCTCTTTTATCTAAACCTAATTAGGCCTTATGAAGCTAAATCAAGCCTCGAGTCTTATATGTCTAAGCTAGATAAATTATCTAGCCTAGATGTAGGCTCATCTAGACTATATCCATCGGGAATCCAGCCTAGATCATGATGGATCTCCCCTAACTCTTTGTAGATCTATCCTAGATTTGTTTGGATCTAGCCTATATCTTCACATTCTGGCCTATATCTTTACCAATTTAATGTTCATTTTATAATTAATATAAATCTAATGATTTGTGGATATGTCGACAATTCTTTTATTGAAAAATTACCCTAAAATAGCAAAGTTTCAATTGAACATGGAAACACATGCATCACATGGAGCAGAGCCATCATTGGCAGTGCCTCCAGTATGACATCAGTAGGGGCAGAGGAATAATCTGCCTGAAGCATCATTTATACATGGGATTTTTCAATATACAGAGATGTGCAAAGGTGGTTGAAGGGATAAGAAGGGCTTTTAGTGCAAAACCCGGTGTCCAGAAAGCACTATGACTATAGGAAAAGGCAAATCGAGAAAAATATAACAAGTGCCATAGGGCCTTAGAGCTGCAATATGTACGAGGGGTATGAGGGTCATAACGATGATGTTGATGCTGACTCTGATTTTGTAGCTAGCATCCATGCTTGAAATGAGCAATTAATTCATGGAATGAGCATGACAAACAATGGTAGTGGTAGTACACCAATTCAGTTTAGTCGATCATCGACAATGAGGAAGATGATTTCTACCAGTGTGCAGGTATTTAATCGGAGTTCTAACACGAGATAGCTGACTTCCCTTTCTCAGTTAGGCGGCATGAGGCAGTCCATATGGGGCTTTATGAGAGGATTTGACATGAGACAAATTTCTGATGTGTTTGATATGGATCTTGCTGCCTACCCACTACATAGTGCAAAACAAACATGGTTTGACGATGCATACACGGAGAGGAAAGAAGACACTGTAAAAGCAATTATATGGTGGTTCAACTTTCACCAAATTCCACATAAGCAGCACAAGACCCTTACCACTAAACCAAAGTGTCCTCTAACCAAAAGGCAAATCCCCACACATGACCTCACACCATATGATACATGATACTTATCTAGATAAGGAGGTCCAAGAGCCTAAATACTGCATTAAATCATTCAAGAAGCAGTAGGGTCTCTTTCATGAGGCCTTGTATTGTTGTATATCAGATAGAAACTATAGCATAAGTTGAAATAAAGTCAGTTATAGGATACTAGGTTTAAATATGTTCTTGTAGTATTCATATGTTACATCCAGTTTTATATTAAAATATCAAGCATTGAATGAATGACTCACTTGATTGTTATAATCTGACTTCATATATTTTTATTTATTTATTTTGTTGATGTTGCTTTAGTTCTTACTTCTTAGAACTTAGTATTTTTCTTCAACTTTTGCATTCAGTTTATTTTGACAATTCTTTATTATTACTAAATAGTGCTAGCGTATGCATCTTCATACCTCATACATGCTGTCATGTCTTGGCTGCACGAACACCATTTCTGCTTTCTGAAATTTTGCTCCTTGGTGTCATTTTGCGTGAGTTGAACATTGTTTATTTTGTGACAGTTTTTATTGATAAATTCAAATTATCTATATGATCTGTTGCCAGCAGACTGCTCTTCATTCTGCTTTCATATCGATCTTCACTATTGCGAACAGCTCTTGTGGTTGCACCAGTCACATGAAAGAATGAGATGATGTAGTGACTGACATGGCATCCAAAACTGGCATGAAAACTAGCAATTGCTTATAATGTCAAGTACAATTGACATTTAAGTATCTAATGCTTATACCTTCATGCTTTTATGACATCCAAATATGCATTTAATATTTGACCTGTGTTAGCCATAAAATGAAGCATTCTTATGATGTATTTCAATTGTATCTTTATGAATTATGAGACTTGAGACATGTTTTCTGCTTCTCCAAGTTAGCTTACTGAGATACATTGCTTATTTATCTTTTTTATTTGTTACTTAGAGATGGTGGTGAGCTTTCCACTAGAGATTTGCAAAAAATGGTTGAAGCTTTGCCGCAGTATACTGAGCAGATTGACAAACTTTCTCTCCATGTAGAGGTTGTATCTGTTTCATAAAGATATCAGTGAGTGCAGTATGTCTTATATTATGACTAGTGTGAAAACCTCGATTTTATATGCTTAGAACATTTTCATCCTTCTTCAAGAACATGTTTCTTGTTGGACAGATTAAGTGACTCTGAACCAAGAATGTATTATGATCATAAGTAACTTGAATCCCTACATTTATGAAGATTAAAATAGCATATATGGCCTACTTGTTATCATTCAATTTTATTTGATACTCGACCTTTAGCTCTTGAAGCTTAATAAGATCGATTGTAGTGGTAACCATGGTTTGATGTATTGGGTACCTGATCCATGTCAGACCCTGGCTGGACTGGTAATATGTGATATAGTTTTTGAGGTTGAGAAAACAAAAGGAAGGACTGTAAGCCTTGTAGCACATGTAGATCATTTGTAATTGGACGTTTCGCATGCTGATTCACACCCATGGTGACGGCAGGTCCTTTTACCCACTCATTGCCCATGTGAGCAGCATGAACTTAGTCACCACTATCTCTCAACTGCTGTTGAAAATTTTGGCTCACAAGTATTTCTACCAAGCTAGTCCACCTGGGCTTCTATAGACTTTGGTTAAGTCTCCATCTACATGATGCGCATGTTGTGGATGTGGAGCTATAACATGTTATTGTTGATCACTAACAGCAACATCTCCACCTTTGCCATTCTCTCCTTGTGTCTTTCTTGAGATGTTGTTTGTCTCTCGACAGACATCTCCTCCCATACAGGAGAAATCTACCCTTATCACTGAATTAGACATGTAAGCTACTAGATGTTGCATTTCATTGCTTAAGTTGTCCAAAAGAACTACTCGAACCAAGGATGGATACCTTGGCTATTCCCAAGTTTTGATAATTGGAAGTTGGAGGAGGCAGCACACTGTTGACTCTTTTATTATTAGTATAAAATATTAATCTTAAAAGTAAGCAATGAAAGCCATTTAAGGCAGCTAGACAGGAAGACAAAAGTTGTCGCAGACAACTCCACAAGTGGAGTGACCTGCTTACTTGTTCTTGTCGTGTTTCCAACTACTTCAGGTTCCTTCAAATGCCACCCAAGGCTTCTCAAGTGGTGAGATACCCTATATTCTTCCTTTTTAATGTCATCTACTCCATAATTATCACAGAGGTTTGTGCTTTGATAGTCCTTGCATGTCGTGAATCCTACATTGGTAATGTATGAATGACCGCATGTGTTGTTGTCATGGATTTTTCAACATTACAAAATTTTATATAGTGGCATAAAATGTTCTAAACAAATTGGAAAAGCTAATGTGCTAGCATTGCCATGAGTTGATAACTGAAGAAAATGTGAATCGTTTGGTACATTACAAGCAGAACTAACAATTACAAACCTTCTATGAGGTTGATGTGGTGAATTATGGTGTTTCATGAGGTTTGACCACGATCAGAAGCTGCAATCATCTCACAATGGTCTCGAGTCTCAAAATATGTACAATTCATTGGTTACCATGATAATGTAGCAAATATTGCAAAATTCCCTTTATGAACAGATTCATTCACATATGTTAACACTGACTGTCCCAAACTAATTTTTTGATTCAACAATTGGGGTTAGATTAAGATTCTGGGTTAAAATACAAAATGATCAGTTGGCCCTAATGCTATACTTTTTCCCTTTTCTTTCCTCATATGCCTTATTGCAATTCATCTCAGAGAGGAAAAACAAGCATTGGTCTACCTAAAGCAACCTGTATTTTGTCTGATCCATCAGTAGTCCAACAAGCTACTTTATCCAAGATAATGAAGTATATTTTCTATAAGGGCAAATCTAAGATTCCTGTTGTTTAGATTTTAACAGAGTCAAAACATTTGTTTGAAAGGGTATTTATGGATGGTTCTTACCTTATGAGGGGTGTTCATGACTTGACTTCTTTTAGGTAATCATGATATTTACAATTATAGAAGCATTTCTTTAAATTTTATATGATTGGTGCGTTACATAAGAACTTTTTTTGCTTTTCAATACTTTTGTTAGAGTTTATCTTATTGCCCTTAAGACGAACACAGGAGTGAATTTTGTAAGTACAGTATACTTACTGCCTTAAAAAACATAAGAGTTTATATAGCTTAAAATTAATTTTCTAACAAATAAAAGAACTTTAAAATGGCCTATTTCATGTTGTTTTCCTTTATTGGAATGGTACTCTTGTTAAGGATAATGAAATTAAGGAAAGATAGAGAAATTATTTTTATAAATTATTTAATGAATATTCTATATAGAACTTAACTTTAATGATAAATAATAATGTTTGATCTAATAATCATAGATTTATTCATAAAATTAAAGTTAGTGAAATAAAAGATACTTTAAAGAAGATGAAAATAATTAAGAGTGTGGGACCTGACGGTATCCCTATTGAGGTTTGAAAAAGTTTAGGGGACAAGAGAGTAGCTTGATTAACTAACTTATTTAACAAGATTATGAGACTCGGAAATATGTCTGATGAATGGAGAAAGAGTTTTTTAATGCTAATTTATAAGAATAAGGGTGACATACAAAATTGTTCAAATTATAGATAATTAAAATTATGAGCTATACTATGAAACTTTAGAAAAGAGTTCTTGAAAGTAGGATAAGGCTTGAAATAAATATCTTTGAAAATTAATTTAGTTTTGTGCTTGAAAGATTAACCAGAGAAGCTATTCATTTGTTAAGGCAATTAATGGAAAAGTATAGGAAGAAAAAGAAAGATTTGCATATGGCTTTTATTGACTTAGAGAAAGCCTATGATAGAATTCCTAGAGATTTATTATGATGGGTTTTAGAAAAGAAAAGTGTATCCACTAATTATATTGAAATTATTAAGGATCTATATGACAATGCAGCGATAGTGTTAGAACTATAGGGAGCGTGTCTAGTGAGTTTTCTATTAGCATAGGATTACATCAATGATTCACATTAAGTCCTTATATTTTCACATTGATAATGGATAAACTTACTATTCATTTACATCATAGACCTCCTAGTATATGTTATATGATGATGATATTGTTTTAGTTGGTGAGAACCTACGTAGATTAATTATAAACTTGAGTTATAGAGGCAATCCTTAGAAATTATATGTTTGAAATTAAGTAGGACTAAAATTGAATATATGAGATATAATTTTAGTAATATTAGAGGATCGACAGGAGAATATAGTTAAGTTGAATAGACAAGAAGTTTCTTTAAATAAAATCCTTAGGTATATTGGACCAATTATTCAACAAGATGGAGAGTCTAATGAAAATATTATTCATAGAGTAAAAACATGATGATTAAAATAGCGAGAGGTATCAGGAGTCTTGTATGATCATCGAATACCTTTAAGCAAGGTTTGTCGTACCACGGCATACCGCTCGGTATGGGCGGTATATATCGATCCAAAAGGGGATCGACATGGGTGGTACATCGGTATGCCCCCATGTACCACGTGTTCGTATGCTCGGTACACCTTGGTATAGCTTAATATGTACCATACCAACAGTTGATCGTTACATCGGTACAGACTGGTAAGGAGAACTATGCCTTTGAGGGTAAAAGAAAAATTTTATAAGACAGCTGTGAGATTAATAATGCTTTATGGATCTGAGTGTTGTGCGGTTAAGAAACAACGTATAAAAAAAGCTTGTGTTGTTGAGATGAAAATGCTGAGATGGATGTATGGAATTACTAAGATAGATAGGAAAAGAAATATTTTTGTTCGTGAAAAGCTAGGTATTGCCTCGATAGAGGATAACACAAGAAATAATCGTTTAAAATGGTATGGACATGTAATTAAGAGATCTACGGATGTGGTAGCTAGAAGAGGTGAATTGATTATTGTCAATGGTATGAGGAGAGGTAGAGGAAGACTTAAAAAAAATTTAATAGAAACTATAAATAAAGATCTAAGTACTCTAAACTTAACTAAATATATGGCATTTTATAGATCTCAATGGTAGCAAAAGATTCATGTAGTCGACCCCAAATAGTTGGGACTTATGGTTTTGTTGTTATTATTAGTAAGGTTCGTCTTACCGTAACATATCGCTCGGTATGGGTAGTATGTATCAGTCCAATAGAGGACCACTATGGGTGGCACATCGGTATGCTTCTATATACTATGTGTCGATACGCTCGGTATGACTTGGTACAACTCGGTACATACTATACCTGCAGTTGGTCGGTACACTGGTATGGATTGGTAAGGCGAACCATGGTTGTTAGAGTGATACTCTTGGCTATAACCTAATTTATTGTGAAGTTTTTTGCTTTGGAAGTAGGGTCCTGTATATTTTCTTTCTAGTGAATTTTGTTTAATTGCGTACTAAATTTTCAAAGGATTTGTTAGTAGGTATAATGAGGGAGCAACTGTAGTAAATGCAATATCGTGGAGGATTATATCAAATGTCTTTTATCTAATCTTATGCAACTTTTGCAGATTGCTGGTAAGATTAATGGAATAATTAGAGAACAAGGTCTTCGTGAAGTTGGACAGCTGGAACAAGATCTTGTATTTGGAGATGCTGGGACCAAAGAACTAATTAATTTTCTAAGGACAAAGCAGGTTAAAATGTCAATTCAATTGTTTCACATGTTAACAATTCCAATTGTCGGTTTAATCATATATAGTCTCTTTAGTTGCTTTTCTTGTGCAGGATATCAGTTGTGAAAATAAACTACGTCTGATGATGATTTATGCATCCATCTATCCAGAGAAGTTTGAAGGCGACAAAGCATCAAAGTTGATGCAAGTGAGTTGTAAAATTAGCTCTCAATAGTAATGGCATACAGTTCTGGATTCTTTAATAGTGTTTGATTTGACAGTTATGATTCTCTATTGTTCTATTCCTATTGCGTATTCTGTTAACTGAATATTGTTGCAGATGTTTGTTTCTTCTAGCATAGTTTATTTTGGTTCCTACCTAGCTGTAAGACGAAAATATCAATGTTACTGGCTTTAGGAATAAAGTTTAATATATAATGACTATTAGAACCGAGGATTTGTTGTTTGGGGTACCAAACCCATTTCGGTTATTTGGTTGGACCGGCATACCAGTCAATACTGGTGTAACATGTATGTGGGTATCGATGTTTCAGAGGAAAAAAAAAGGAGAAGAGGAAGAGCACGTGGAGGAAGAGGAGGAAGAAAGGAGGAAGAAGAGAGAGGTGGACGAGGAAGAAGAAGAAGCGATGGAGCAGGAAGAAGGAAGAATAGGAGGAGAAGAAGTGGGAGTGTACTTGGGAAGAAGAAGGAACACGGTGTTGGCAGTGGCAACTATAACCACATCGCGAAGCAGCGATGGCGACAGTGGCGTGAAGCAATGGCAACGACAATGACATTAAATGCAAGAAGAGGGCTCGCATTCATGAGACCTAGTTTCTATTTTAGTATTTTTTCCTTTTTCAATGTTGAGTTCAATGGGCCCTTTCACTATTTTAGGTTTTCTTATTTTTCTTGAGTTGGACCAGGCCGCCCGATATAGGGGTGGTCTACATACTAGTTGACGCCCCGACCGGTACATACCACCTGTTTCATATAATTTCAGATGATGCAACAATCCTTTGTTAGAACTACTGCACCCATAAATTACTATTGCTTCGAGTTGTTTTCATACTATATACATTATTTAAATGTATTTCACAGTTATGCATTTTTATTTTTTCTGCATATTGGGTGATTTCCATAGAAAATAACCATCTTTTGGGTATTTTTCATTCAGTACCCATTATTTTGCTTTTCAAACAGTACCTTGGTTTGAAAAATACTTAAATTACCTCTCAAAAATTTTCTTGCTTGTTGTAGTGTTTTGATCTGTTACAGTTTTTTTGGCCTGTTACAAAGTTTTGGCCTCCACAACAAAAACATTGTAAAGCCTACTTGAAAACATTGTAAATGAGTCAAATGAAATCAAAATATACTATAAATTATTTGACCTATCATACTATAATTCAAATAGTTATTTATAATAGTTTAGGAACAATATCACCCAAAAAAATAAAAAATTGACTTATTACAGTGTTTTGGCCACCATAGTAAAAAGTCCTACTCAAAAACACTGTAAATGATCTAAATGAACTCCTAACTTCAACCAAGCTAACTACAAGCTTAGAAGTATAGTATTGTAATGGTTCATGAGTAATGACAACCAAAGTGACACAATATGCTGTTACTTATAGCGTTTTTCAATAGCATTTACAGTATTTTCAATACATCAATAGAACACTATAAATACTATTGAAAACTATTGTAAATGAGCCTAATAAAAACACTGTGATTGTTGAAAACCAGTAAAATAATGGGTGAAAAAATTTGGCGTAAAAACTTTGAAGGGTATTTTTCAAATTAGGGGTATTGTTTTGGAAAAAAAAAAGAAAGGATTCCTTTTGGGAAATATCTAAAATATGGATATTTTTAAGGGAAATCATCCTTGCATATTCTTGCTGACTGAATAATGTTGCACTTGTTTATTTCCTATGAGAAAGTTTATTTTGATCAGGGTTTGCCTTTATGGGTCTCAGGCCCATTTCCACAAACTACTAAAACGGTATTTACTGGTTTGTATTGGTGTACCAACACAATATACCGGCGCATATCGGTGGCTCGACGATGAAGAAAAGGAAAAAGAAGTGGAAGGAGCAGTAGAGGAACAAAGGAGGAAGGAAGAGGGAAGAGGAGGAAGAAGTGGAAGAAGAAGAAGAAGGAAGAAGAAGAAAGAAAAGGAAAAGAGCAACGGCAACGTACCTAGGAAGTAATGATAGTGAGGTGCCACCATCTTATGCGATGGCGAAGCGACAGTGGCAACAATGGGGAAGCAGCAATGGTGATGCGACATCGTATGTGAAAGCGAAGCAGCAGCGATAGTAGAGGTGAAGCGATGATGGCGAGGCGGTGGCACCTTACGTGATGGTGAAGTAGCAATGGCAGCAGAGGCGAAGCAGTCACGACGCGCGAGAAGAGGGCTTATGTTCGCGGGGTCCTAATCTCGTTTTTTTTCTTTTTTATACTGATTTGGACATGAACCCACCATTTCTTTGGATATTTTATTAATTTAATTGGACCGCCCGCTACAAGGTGGTCCACTTATCGGTCCCCTATCGGACCGGTGCATACCACCCGTACCGGGTGGTATACCGCAGCATGGCAAACCCTGATTTTGATAGCTAGCCAGCTACATGAGGACATTTAATTGGTATGACTATTAGGACTGCTGCACCTATGGATTCACCTGCTTCTAGTTGTTTCTTTTAGCAGCCATCTGTTTGTTGTTTGCTGTGTTACAACTTAAAAAGTCAAAACTTTGTACATCATTTTGGGTGACATTATAGTGCAGTGACTTAGGCTACAAATTCATGTTTAATTATTCTCAAATACATGTTTTAAAGATCTATAAACACTCAGTGCAGATATTGTGTTTCTCCGACTCTAATATGCAAAATAAGTTACTAGTTCAATTATATCTAGAAGATATTACTAACCAATTATTCTTGGAATTCCTACATGACCATCTTGAATCACTCTAATAAAATAAATTGAGAGAAATAGGTGAATTTTGGGAGAGATTAGCAAGAAAATGAGAGTGATAAAGAGAGGATGTGATATAAGAGTGAGGTGAAGAAAGGGGCTTGTGTGAGCTTTTTATTGCCACCTACAAAGCCCATTGGGTAGCCTCACTTGATAGGTATTCTTATGGCTTTGTAGATGGCTCATACCAGTGGTACAAGGCCTGTACTAGGTGGTACACGTAATACTGGGCTTGAACAACATGGTTTAGCCATTGGATAGCCTTACTCAAGAATTAGGCTTACTGCCCAGCGTAAGCCTCCTACCGGGTTGTCACGGACTTAGCTGGAATTACCTAAGTCATGAGGCACCCTTGCGGCCAAGGCGCGAACTGAACTTGAGTTTCCTAAGTCGCAACGCACCCTTGCGCCAACTTCTCGGACTTAGCTAGGATTGCCTAAGTCTTGAGGTGTCTTTGCGACATATGCTTCTGCAAAGGTTCAGCCTAGTTGCAATCTTATACAAGTCTTGAAGGACCTGTAAAACAGAAAGTTGATTAGATTGAAAACGAGTGACGGACAAGTCTCGACGTCTCGCAAAGAGGGAAGTTTTACAAGCAATTCAGCAAGCACCTTGTGTGCATAGGAGAAAAGAGAGAGGAGGAAAATAAGGACTTTAGAATGTAGAACGAATAGTTGCAAGTCCACAAACAACTGCTCATCAGGTGCCGGGTGCAAAGGCAACTTCCCATCAAGAAAACGTGCGAACTTGTGAAGATTGTTCAATGCCCGACAATATACCGAAGCCCCATCCAGCCCTGTGCCAAAATCTAACCTAGATTGGCCGATCCCAATGAAAATGGCCTATTCGGATTGGAATTAACCAAATTACGAACTATGATTTTAACTGCTCAAGTAAAAGCAGTTTGGGAAAGATGGGATGCTCCATGGATACTTTGATTGCTAACCAATGGATAATACGGATATTTCGTTGGATGTGATTTAGCATCAATTTTTTGTTAAAATTATATTAAAATAGTTGATTATTTCATTGTAAGTCTTCGATACATTATCTTTGTTTGGGGCATTACTTTCAAATTTTGTCTGAACTTTCTTCCTCATGACTAGTTAACAAAAATACTCGTAAACTTTAATTATGTTGTATACCTATTTAGCTAATGCTTAAAATGAATGCTAAAGATTATTAAAGTAACAGCTTTACGGTCATAAATATTCTTAAAGAGAATTTGAGCAGTATGTTTGAAAACACTGTAATTTACTGCACTTTGGCTTATATTGTTAATGTAGTTTAACAAAATAAACAACTAAGCCAATATATCCTTTCAAAATATGTTTTTTTTTTCAGTCTGTACACTGAATATCCACCATGTCTCAGAAGTATATCCTTAACAAAAGTTGTTTTATGTGTATCTAAGATTTTGCCTGCTTGAAAATTGTATTTTCTTTTTGTGAAGCATCATTTGACCTCAAAAAATGTTGATTTATGAACTTGATATGAAATTCTTCTATGCATCCATGATATCAGCTAGTTGTATCAAATAAACTTCTCTGTTTTTACAGCTTGCACAACTTTCATCTGATGATATGATTGCTGTTAATAACATGCGCTACCTGGGAGGTTATGGAACTAAAAAGACATCAAGAAGTGGATTCACCCTCAAATTTGATGCATACAAGGTAATTGCCTCTGTTTTTGAGATCATGTCTGGCATGAATTTTCTTTGCAACTATTTTCTGACAATAGTCCTTGAATTTTTTGGTTATCAGAAGAAGCATGCAGTGAGAAAAGAACGAAAATCTGAGGAAGTTACATGGCAGCTATCTAAATTTTATCCGCTGATAGAGGTATTGTTATGTCGAATAAGAGCATTTTATATGATGCTAGAATATCTTAATTTTAACTAGTCAATAGATTAAGTTGGACTAGTCTTTGTTACTCATTTATAGCCTCAGTTGCATGATATCTAAGTCTTCAGCTCAGCTTCGATTAGTCATAGCTGTCTTAAATTTTTGCTAGTCTAATTCTAGTTGATTTTTTCCCTTTTGATTTACTTTGTCTTGTTTGTGAATCTTTAAAAAAGTCCAGTCTAATTCTAGTTGATTTTTTTTCCTTTTGAGTTACTTTTCCTTCTTCATGAATCTTAAATGAAATCTTATTAGAGTCTTGCTTGCTTTTTACTGAAAAATGAACTAGCTTAACCTCTTTTTATTGAAGTCATTTCCTTTTCTCCCATGAAAACCACTTGTGAAGAGAGATTACCTTCTTCAAGCATATGTTTCCCTTTAATTATGGTTTCTCTGTGCTTGCAGCAGACCAGCTTAAGTCATAAAGATTGTCATTTGAATATTACTTAAATAATGTCACTCAGTCTGCTGGCATCAGAAAAGATATCATTAAGTCTGCTAATATACATCTTGATGCAGAAACAGAAGAAGTCGAGAATAATGAGGGAAAAGGAGTAACTTTAGAATCATAAGGAAGTGTTGCTACGAAGCACAAAGATTTGTTCTATGTTGGTCATATATAGGGCCCAATTGGTTGTTTAAGAACTGGGATTCTGGAAGAATGGGAGTAATCACTTTGTGAGATCAGACAGTCCAACCATTTACTGGAAATAAATGGACGCATATTTGCACTAACTCTTTTGTCCTTTGGTATCCAATATCTCATATCCATGCATCCAATATGAATCATTTGAACACACCCCTAACTCCCAAGTTCTTATAAGCATACTATTATTCCTTTTATAATGGTTTACATTGGACTCAGAAAGATAATGGGATCTGATCAAGTAACAATTGTAGAATTAAGGCAATGATCTAATTTTCATGACTTGTCCTTGTGCTGGCCAGTAGTTGGTTTGGGTAATGCTTTGGCTTCCAACTATGCCAATGTAATACAAACTGTTGTCGATTGAAATGTAGAGAGAGAGAGAGAGAGAGAGAGAGAGAGAGAGAGAGAGAGAGAAGACTAACTTGTGGAGTGTTGGGAGGTACAAGGAATTAGGAAGAAAAAGGGATTTTAGGACGATAACATACTGTTTTGTATCTCTTTAACTTACATGGGTCGCTTTGGGTCAACCATCATGATTTGGCTTGGAGTGGAGGGGGAAGGAGGTGTGGACATCCTACTAGAGACAGAACCAAACATAAAAAATAGGTTAAAAGAGGAACCATGGACAGAGGTGCAGATTTCTTCACTTGCACAGGGCTTGAGAACTAAAATGCCACTGCAATGGTACATTCCAAGATGGTAAGTATGTGACATCCTTATATAATCGATGATCTATATTATGCCAAGTTGGCAAGATGTGATTGAGAAGACGGTAAAAAAGCCACTATGACGAGGATGAAATTTTTGAAATTTGATACATAAAGAAATTGCCTGATGATCTTTGCAGGTTAGTTTTGATTACCTGCAAAGTTAGCTTAAAACTAAACGACAAAGACCTAATTTGGAAAAAGTGATAATCAAGGTATGTAATACTGTATCATACCGGTATTTCGAGGTTGGCTCAGTACGGTACGGTACCGTGTACCGAGCGGTATGCTAGGGCATACCGAGCGGTACACCTAATTTAGGTGTAAAACCCTCCGAAAATACAAAAAAAAAGTTAGGATAAGGTTTTTAAGTTAGAAATAAATATAGTAATAGCATAAGTTTAGCAAAATCAATGTAAATTAGGTAAGAATAGTATCACATATTTTTTTCAGGCTTTGAAGAATATCTTGTGCAAGGTTCGTATTTCAGTCCATTATGGATTGTTCTTATGTAAACATACCTATTGATTAGAAAGTTCTTCCTCTTAATCTTTCCAAATTAACCTCGATTCAATTCAAAAATCGTTCTTTTGTAGAGTTTAGGAGAGCACAAATGTATAAAAAAAAGAGTTTGAATAGTTTAAGAGAGTATAAGAATGTAATATAGTGAAATAGGGGGAGAAGAAGGGTTTAAATACTATGAGAAAGGGCTCCAACGGTCAATTTGACCGTTGGAGCATTGTATCACAGTTACCGAGCGGTTTTAAATATTTCTTCCTCTTACTGTAGCACTGCTATAGTGTAGCGCTATAGAACTATAGCACGTTCCATCCGGTAGCGGGCGGTCCGCATACTGGTATGTCGTTGGACCGGTACGTACCGCCTGTACCGGACGGTATTATTCGAAATTGCATACCTTGGTGATAATATCTAGTCGTAAGATGACATCAAAAGTATTGCAACTTGCAAGATGGTCTGAGAATTGATAGTTTTTTTTCTCCCTTCCAGCTATAGTTATCCTAAACTTTTTTTTATTAATTGAATTCGATGAACCTCTAAAGCTTCTAGTATCGATGTTTTCTTAACATTCATTAAAATTGATAGGAAAGAATGAAATTTGCTACAGTTGAATACCCCTGAATATATACCCTTATATATTCTTCACCTCTTACATCAATGTTTCTTATTCCTATCTATTATAGCATATGCTCATTAATATCTGTACCTGTTTTCTGTATTTGTGATCACAAAAAGTTGAATAAGACTGCATTGAAGCATGTTATGAATGCTCTCATATTAGATTTTTTTGCTTTAGTCAAATACACTTAGGCTACCTGTAGTGTTATTCTTGTAACTTGTCGGTCGTTTGAAATTCTATATTATGTCTAGGAGCTGATAGAGAAACTTAGCAAAGGTGAACTACCGAAGGATGAGTATCCTTGTATGAATGACCCAAGTTCTAGTTTTCATGAGACCTCACAAGATGCATCTGCTTCCACAACTCACCATGCACCAGCTCAATCCATGAGATCTAGGCGGGCGACATGGGCTAGGCCACGAAGTTCTGATGATGGATATTCAAGGTATGCTATTATCTCCAGTATCTTTCTGCTGCTTCTAAGTATAGGTTGTATGTGTTGTTATTTAGATGTTCCCTTGATTAAATTTCAGACATCCCAGATTTTGGGGCTGCATTCATATTTTGTTGACCAATGGGCTTTTGCAGTGATTCTGTGTTGAGGCATTCATCAAGTGATTTTAAAAAGATGGACCAGCGCATTTTTATATTTATCATTGGTGGAGCCACTCGATCTGAGGTAGCTTTGCTATATTTTTGTTCATACTTTGGAGTTTTCTTGTTGGAAAATATTTTAATCAATCATTTGGTTTCCTTATATCAGCTACGTGTTGTCCACAAGCTTACCACAAAGTTGAAGAGGGAAATCATCCTCGGCTCATCCAGTATTGATGATCCTTCCCAGTTTATCACTGTGAGTTCAGTTTATCCTAGAACATCAATAGATTGGAATTGATGGTATGCCATATTATGGTTTTTTTTCATTTAAAGGAGTCTTAAATGTGAATTATTCCTTATTATACTGATACTTTGGACTCCTTCCATATGGAAAACACATAAGAGTTGCATAAATGTAAATTATGTAGATAAGATAACACATTTTTTATGATATATTTTAATGAGAAAACATTGTGTAAAGAAGACTATTACTTGCCTCAGCTGTAAGAAAGCAACTATTACTCTTTTTTCATAATGATAAGCTAAATTCATGGAACCACTATGGAGAGGTTTACAGAATAATATTTGAGTCAAATTGGTTACAGTTATCAATATTAAATGGTATCAGAACTAGCAAAGTCTGTTACACTTCACTTCCTGCATGCTATCTTCTCACCTCTCTGTGCTCATCTACCACTTTAGGCTGTAGGGATGTTTGAAAAATAAAATAAGATCATAAACCAAACAACAGACAAACTAGTTGAAGTAAGAAACCGAGATAACAAAAGTAGTCAATTTGATTTGAGTTTGAGATTTCTTTTCTCTTTCATTTCGAGTCCAATTTGGTTTGACGGCACAGAAGGCCGAATGACCAAATCAGAGATATTATATATCTTTAAAACCCCACATAACTCAGTCCTGTATATATATATATATATATATATATATATATATATATATATATATATATATATATATATATCCTCAATTTTGAACTTCTTCCGGTCTAACGCCCCTCTCCCTCCCTTCTCTCCCCCCCACCCTTCTCCCTATCTCTTCCTCTCTCGTTCACCTCTATGCCTCACATCCATCAACATGTCAAGTCATTGGAGGTGCTTCCCTTCATGCCTCCATGACCTCCATACCCTATCCCTTAGTCTCTAACATTACCCTTGCCCTCCAATTCATTGCCCTTTTCGACTAGTTAAGAATAGGTAACGTTCTATGTACCCTTTTATCTGATTTCTCTATGTCCCTCTTGATTGGTTGATATATGCCCTTTCTCTCAAATCTTTTTGGATAATTGACAGTTATTTCTCAATTTTCTGGTTCTCAATTCAGTTGTGGTTCTGGCAATAGCTTTTGGAAATATTGTGTCAGCAAGAAATGGACGAACTAGTGGGACTGGTCGATGAACCAGTTCAGTTTGAGTTTAGTATTATGTTAAACCAGTAATATAAGAACCGTAACTACTTATAGCCTCAACAATTACTTGTAGTTCGGTTGGACCTTATGATTACCTTGTTTTATCGCTAATTTGATTCTCTTTCATAAACTATGCAAAAATTGAAAATTCGATCACAATCCGAGAAAATGTGATTGATTTTTCATTTCATAGTTTTTTTTTTAATTTTTTCATATTGCAGAAACTGAAGATGCTCTCACCTCAAGAAATTTCATTGGATGACCTTGAGATATGATATATGCACCACCAGTGATTCAGGGAAGATTCCATTTGATGTTTGGGAATCTCAGCTACATTAGAAAGTAACTTCATGAAAATTAAGTCGGCTACCAAATACTCTGAATCCGTTCGTGGTCAACTTAAAAGTTTTGTAGGTTAAAGTTTTCGATGAACATCATGGTCGGATGTAACCAAACAAGTTGTATCACTTGTGTCTTCAGGCTGCAGTACAGCATGTACAACAAACGGAACATTTTTGATGTGATCATTTGCTGGGCCTCATTTGGTTTGAAATAACTCGAATGATCAGGAGAAACTATTGGGCTGCATAATGAATGGTGTACTTCAATATGTTTTGTTGAACAGGAATGATACTACTTTTTGATCTGCCACGTGATAATACTTCAGCAGGACTTTTTGTTCGTGCATAAATGATGAACAAGCATGATACACCGAAAGGTTTCATCAATGGTTCCAGCTGTTGATGAAAGCATTGATTCGATAGTCACCAATTGCAAGTTAACTCCAATAAAGTTGATCACTGAACCAGAATATAATTTCGTATTCTAATAATTATAAACGTATGGTCGTAAATTATCATGGATCTCCTTTCTTGGATAGCAATACTTGCGTCCTAATTATATAAGTAAGCTAAGGGGAAAAAAAAAGTGACGATAATATATAAAGGCTGTAGAGATTCCCCTGGCATGTCATCTATAATAAATATGGAGATGCAGCCATAGCTATTCAAATATGGAGGTGCAGCTATGCACGATCCTCTTGAAACACTCGGCATCTGAACCACTCACGCATCTGTGAAAGCAACATGAGGTTTCCTTTTTTAGATTCCACCGCTTTATGGATGTTACATTGCGTCTGTCACAATGGGTACATAGACAGGCCATGTCAAAAAAGTTAAAGAGGAAAGTTGGAACATGTTCTGCCCATCACACGGGAACAGATGCAGTGGCAAAGGGCTTCAAAAGTGGCGGCTCAGGCGGCTTCGATGTCTGTAATTTATGTGGGTAGATGGGGCAACGGGAAACAAGCTTTTCCTAGTACAACTGTTTGGATGGCAGGATTTCGTCCTGCAGACGCATCTTCTTTTGCTTGACGAAGACTTTGCCTTTGAGTCGAGTCGAGTCGATGCAGACGCATCTTCTTTTGCCTGACGAAGACTTTGCCTTTGAGTCGAGTCGAGTCGATGTGTTCGAACTCAAAGATATAGGAACGCCTAATATGATTATGAGGTGACTCTAAGGAGGAGCTATCGGGAAACTATCTTTCGATGCTCAAGTTAGTGGTCTATATCTACATTGGATGAGGATTTTTTTCTTGGACAACATAGGGGTTAGCTTTTATATCTAGTCTACTACGAGGATGATATGTAATTACTCTAATGTTTTCTCTTTGGCGTTTTGTTCACGTGGACGATAGGGGAGAGATAGGCTTGAATAGTCTCCCTTGGACTATTGTCCATGGGGCCACATAGACGAAGGGTGACTTGGACCTTTCCTATCCATGTTAGCCTCGATGTGGTGATTAGGTGTCAGATAATGATTGACCATCAATATAATCCCTATCATTTGTCTCCCCTATAAGGCGTGCATTAAGGCTTCTGTTAAAGGGGTCCGGAGTGTGGCATTTAATTCAATTGAGAGGCTCATTGCAAACCTGTTCCTCTATATCGTGAAGGAGACAAATGTAGGGGCAGGTTGAGTCTCCCGACTCACATGGCTCGGGTATATTTCGCTCTGGTATAACATACTTAGCTAGTTTTGCTTAAGTCATGCGACACCTTTTGTATCCGTCCATAAATAGTCAACCTCCCCGAAACCTCTTATGGTCTGTTAAAGATCTATAAAAGAGAAAACATGTTAAAGAAAGCATTTAACTCGAGATCCATAAATAATCATTTCAACAAACACTTGATAGACAATGCAAATTATAAATATAAACTTCATAAGCTCCGAATGATCATGTAACAAATGGTCTCAAATGGTTCACTATGATCAAAAGTCCCTATAAGTGGCCACATAATACTATTATAGAATAAGACAGTAAATTAGCTCTAGACACTACTCAAAAGGCCCATCCAGCCATGTGCCACCCGGGTCGCTCCTAGGTGTTATACCAGCTGAAATTTTACACTATTATGCAGAACTAGAAAAACCCTAAAATGGCTACCTAAATGGCAACCTATAATTATAAGCCCGAAATAACCATAAAAGCCAACCAAACTAGCATTGCCAAACATATTGCAATCCCACTACTAGTTATTGGCTAGCCCCCCCTCAGAGCTCAGGTGGAGGCTAATCTGGCTAGTGCATCAGCCTGAGCATTTTCTGCCTAAGGGACCCATAGTACATTGAGTTAGGAGAAGCTAAGAACTAACCGTCGCACCTCGATAAGGTACTTCGCCATGGTCATATCTCAGGCTTTGTAGCTCCCCTCTACTTGACTCATGACTAGTTGTGAGTAACTAAACACTATCAACTCTTGGACCTGTTGCTCTTGGGTGAGTCAGAGCCTCAAGAGATGCTAGTCATAGGTAGGCGTAAGCCAATCACATGAGTGATGACATGTGTGACTTAACACACAGCCTTTTTGCTTATTATTATTGTTAGGATCGAGTTGACACTAAGAGGGGGAGGGTGAATTAGTGCAGCAGATAAAAATGACGTCGGTTCGAAAAATCTTTGTTTCGATAAAATCGATATCGAAAATGTATTTAACTTGAAAGTGTTCGTAAGAGTGTAATGAGAAAGTAAAGCAAGTAAGGCAGTTTGCAGTAAAGGTAAGTTGCACAAATAGAAATGCAAACTGAGTTTTATAGTGGTTCGGTTGTCGTGACCTACATCCACTCACGATTCCTCTTCTATCGAGGCCACCGACATCCACTAATGATCTTCTTTCAATGGGCAAAGATCAACTACCATTTTACAATCTTTCTCATTTTCATGGGTTTAGGAGATAACCCTTACAAGCCTCTTTTTCTTAGACCTCACTTCTCCCTTTAGACAAACTTCTGAATACCAAGAAGAAGTGATCCTAAATCCGAAAAACGTTTTCCATTTTTTTCTCAAATATTTTCCCCTTTTTTTTAACTCAATTTCATGCTCAAATCTTGCTACTCCATGCAGGAATAGCTGGGGTATTTATAGACCCCAAATGACTTCAAAATTAGAGTAAAAAAAGGTCTTATCTCAGGTATCCTAGGACCTAGCGGTACCATCGCCTATAGCACTGACACTGGGTGGTACCACCGCTCAGTCTGATAGTACCATCGCTTGGGAGACTATGTTTGGGCGGTACCACCGCCTGACACAATCTCGGAGACTGTGCCATTGACGGTTCCACCAGTTTGGGCCTTTCACTTGGCCTAACATAGCCCGAACTTAGGCCCAGTTGGCTCCTAATTGAGTTGGCCTAATTATATTCTAAACCAATTCAATTAGACTTTGAACTAACTCGATCTACACATAATCGATTACAAGCGAATCCTATATTGTCTAAGTAACATGTCATCATAAAATCATGCATAATCCAAATTTCAATACATCATTCCATGCATGATTGTCATCGTAACTTCTCCCCCTTTGTCATCAATAGAAAGGAGAAGTACAACTAGCAAGTTTTTAGACATAATATCAAATCATTGCATAATTTCACTTCTCCTTTTTGTTAATGACAAAGGGGGAGAAGTTATGATTATTGAATCTCAGATTTTGATGATGAAACCAATTGATAAGTGTTTATGATTTGATCTACGTTTTGAGTGATATAGGATGCTGTTAGGATCAAGAGCACTAAGAGGGGGGGGGGCGGTGAATTAGTGCAGCGAAAAACCTTCTACGATAAAAACTTCGTTCGTTCGTTAAAAGTGATTTCGGTAAGAAAGCCGATTCATAAATCACTTTAACTTTTGCTTAAGCGAGATGCAGCAAAGATATAAATGCAGTTTGCAGTTATGATTCAAATCCGATAGTAGGCACAAACTGAAATATGATATTCGTACGAAGAAACTGATTTACGTCTAAATGCTGATTCGTAAATCACTTGATTAGGCGAGATGCAGTTTAAGCAAGGATATAAAGGTAGTTTGCAGTTATGATAGAAATCAAAACGTAAACGCAAACTGAAATATGATGATCGTATGAAAAAACAGATTTACATCTAAATGCTGATTCGGAAAGTGCAAAGCTTGAAACCCAATCGTATATGCGCAGAAAGCAGTAAGCTTTAGAGGAGGTTTGCAGTAAAGATAATATGCTCAAAGTAAATGCAAACCGAGATTTAGAGTGGTTCGGTCAATCTTAACCTACTCCACTTTTGGCTTCCTCCACCGACGAGGTCACCGACGTCAACTAGAGGCCTGCCTTCAATAGGCAAAGGCCAACCACCCTTTTACAGTTTCACTCCTTTTGACGGGCTTAAGAGACAACCCTTATAGAATTTTCTCTCCTCTCTTTACAGCTCAGAACTTGGAAGAAAAGAGGGAGAAGAACTGTTAGCCTTTACAACAATTTTGAGCTCTAAAAATCACAAAACAAGATCAGGATTTCGGTGTTAGTTTATTTGCCCTTTCAGTGCTGAATGGGTGGGGTATTTATAGGCCCCAACCCAGTTCAAATTTGGAGCTCAAAACTGTCAATTCCTGGAATTCTGGGATCAGGCGGTTGCACCTCCTGCCAGAGCTCGAAGACCGAGCTCAGGCGGTGCCACCTCCTGATTGAGGAGGTTGCACCGCTCAGCCAGAGCTCGGAGACCGAGCCCAAGCGGTGCCACCTCCTGTCAGGGGAGGTTGCACCGCCCAGTCTCGCTCGGAGACTGAGCCCAGGCGGTGCCACCACCTAGCTGGGGCGGTTGCACCGCCCAGTCTCGCTCGAAGACTTAGCCCAGGCGGTGCCACCTCCTGGCTTGGGCGGTTCAACCGCCTGGCAGAAATCAGGGTCCGAATGGGTTGATCCATTCAGCCCAATTTGGGTTTTTCAAGGGCCCAATTGCCCCAAGATTAAGTTAATGGGATCACCTCCCATTTCCAACTTAATCATTGTGCTAACTATGATATTTCCTAAGACATTTACTACAACTTGCCCTAGTGCGTCAATCACTTCTTCCGGCGAACTTCCGTCGATCATCTGATGAACCCTCCGTGATGCTCCTGCGGACTTCCGGCAAACTCCTGGACTTGCGACGATCCACTTGGTGAGTTCCGACGAGCTTCTTTGGCAAGCTCATGGACTTCTCGGATTTGTTCCCGCAGAACCTCCGACGACTGTCCGAACTTCCGTCGAACTCTCGAACTCCCAACGTGATCATTATCTTGACTCCGGCGTAACTCCTGCTGCATGTCTTTCTTCCATCGTAGTTAATCCTACACACTTAAAAC